ATGCGAAAATGACTGTGCATGGTATAAAAACGAATATCAGACAGCCTCACATTTTAATCTTTTCCCTTTAATTGTAGTGAGTTGTGTGCAAACGATTTAAGTATTTTACAGATGAGAAAAAACTGAGCTAGAACCAACTCGTTCTTATCATGAGCACTGGCATCATCTTTGTTTTATCTCTCTCCGCATTTCCTCATCCTTTCCGCCGTCCTCCTCTTGGCCTTTTTTCTTGCCTTTTTCTGCCTCGCCCACTCCTTTTCACCCACATCAGGCTGTATATCCTTTAATTGCCTCTTCCTGTGACGATGGTTTTATAATATCTTTTTCTATACAGAGAATTGAGAGATAATTCAGATAGATCAGTCTTTCCCTCAACATGGCTGATGACAAGTTGTTCTGTATCATTGATCACCTACGGGAGCCTCCATCAGCCTCACCGCTCTATTGGAAATGTCATGTGCAATTTTAGGATTGGCGTCAAATTTGGGGGAAACTCCATCAAGTTTCTTTCATCTGTGGATTGGAAGTGTTCAAGGTATTTTGAGTTTTCTTGTGTGGTAATTAATTTTAAACGTTTTTAAATTGACAGTGTTCATTAAAAAGTTTGTTGATGCTGAGGTCTTGTTATAGTGACATATTATAAATTTTATTGTCTTTATTGATGTCAGCATTGTTGTTAGATCAACAAAAGCTTAATCTTTTTCCAATTTGTTCATATAATTCACCCTTCTTCGTTGATTGGATTACAAACAATGCAGAGTCTTCAATAAGTCCATTCAAAAGTTATCTCTTGCTTTTAATAAATTCCTTTTTCATATCATCTAAATATACTTTGGGAGTACTATTGTCTTCACAATGTCAGAATCATTTTAACTCATTTCATTGTTCATCATTATTGCTTCTGTTTTATATTCCATTTATTTAAAATATGTTCTACTAAAGCCAGATTAGATGTATATCTTTAGGTAGGACCCCACCTTGTCCATAAATGCCATCCAACACAATGGGGAAGTCAGAATAGAAGTAGACAATCGTCATAACCAATCAGTTAAAATAATTTACTCTGGCAAATTAAAAAGGAAACGAGACGATGTGAACATATTTCCAGGGCTTCTCCCAGGGCCTTAGAAGGGCCCCATGCGAGGGAGGCGACCTGAGGTTTAAACGTCATTGGTGTCACGGTGCATCTGCTGGAGGGGTCTGAGTCCACGTATGCCGTTGTATGAACACACAGTGTGGAGACTCACACGTACGTCTCCGTGAAGAGCATGGCTCGGCGTTTCCTCAGATGCAGCCCAGGCAAAAATGGCCCCAGGAGCAAGGGAAATTTCATCTACATGGCGAATGGAGTTGGGCTCAGCCAGATGTCACCAGGGGACTGAGGTGAGGAACAGGCCAGGAAGGGGCCTCAAATCCCATCAACTGTGGTGTGATCCGGTCTCCAGCTGCTCCCCTCCCTCCTGACTTTCCTCACCTCCTCCCTTCTTCTGTCCTCTGTGGAGGCTACAGGGCAAGGCAGCTAAGAGTGTGGTCTCTGGGGCCACTCTGCCTGGGTTCGAATCCTGGCTCATGACCTAAGTGGGTGCAATGAGAGTTCTTCCCCGGCAGTTTCTAACTGGAGTTTAATGGCGTGACGTAAGGTAATCCCTGAGTTGTGGGAAAAAACCAACATGGAGTAGGAGAGAGTAAAGTCACATAGAGGCAAGAAGGGGAGTGTGTGGAAGAGTAAGAGGGGCTCCAGTCCCAGCTCTCAAGGCCCATGGACGCTGTGGTGCTTGTAGCACTATTTCGATCTGGGAACTGCCCCGTGTCCTTCCAACACACCCCAGGGGGGTTTAAGCTAGTTTGACTTGAGCTTCTGTCACTCGTCACCAGTAGTGTCCTGGACTAGATCTGTCCCCATATCTGCTTCTTCTTCCCCTGAGGGCTCCATCTCTGTAATGGCACCACCGCCCGCTCTGAAGCAGACCAGAGCCTGGAGTCATCCTTTTCTCTCACTTTCATTTGCTCTGAGAACAGTTACACAGGTTGTTCACTGAACAAGTGCACCTGGCTAGGGAGGAGAGTGAGGGCTGAAGTCCAGCCTTCTCTCTGCTTGCCTAGCCCTGAACCCTGGTGCAGGGCAGTGTCCCTGGGAAAGAAGGGACACCTTTTTCTAATTGCACACTAACCCCCTATAGGCTGCTGGGGCCTTCTTCTTGTATGGGGTTGGTCCCCTCAGTGCAGAAACTAACTCCTCTCTTCACCTGGTTACCTCCTCACACCCCGATCTCATCTCTCCTCGCATCCTTTACTTTCCAGATGGCATTTCCCACCATTTATAATGTGGCATGTATTCACTTGGTTCTTTGTCCCACAGCTGTCTCCCCAGTGGATTTTAAGCTGTGGGAGGGTGAGCACTGTGCCCTCCAGGTTCTCCACTGTCTCGTCCACACCCGCTCTTCATCTGGCATGACTGTCTCCACTCCTGTGCTTTCTCTCCCTTCCCGAGTCACAGCCCCAGTTCAGGCCATATCCTCTGAGCAAGGTTGGTGGCCTCCTGATAAGTCCTCCTGTCTCAGGTCTTGTTCCCTCTTATCCATTCTGCCAGCCCAGACTGGCCTTTCTAAAACACACAATTATGTATATCCTTCCCCTGGTTAGATTCCTCGATGGCTCCCTATTGCCCTCAGGATAAAGCCGAAATGAGGTCCACTGTGGCCCTGCCTCTGCCTCCTCCCCGTCTCACCTCCGGCCCCTCCCTGTGAGCATTTTTGGTTCCATGGAGCCGCAGTTTGCTTTCGTCGCCTCTAGGTATTTGCACTCTCCGTTTCCTTGGCTTGGAGCACCCTTCTTTCCTGACCAACTCCTTTGAGGTTCTAATTCAGGGTTACCTGCTTGTCTATACCTTCTGTTCCTGCTGCGTTCCTCTGCCCCACCCACGCCCCATTACAGCACTTAATTCCCCGTGATGCAATCAGCTGCTGAAACATCCAGTGCCCGCAAGGTCTGAGTGCTTCCCAAGGTCAGGAGCTGTGTCCACTGGTCCCCTTCCACCCAGCATGGGACCTGGCATCTGCTGAATGAATGAACTCATGAACGAGCCCCAGGGGGTCGCAAAGGAGTGTAAAGACCCCCAAGGCGCATCTGAGGAAGCCTCCAGAGGAAAACCTGAGGATCATTAGTACCCAAGCAGCCCTGGGCGGCTCCTCGGGGACCCTGTGTGGGGAGGGCAGAGGCTCTCAGATATGTAGTGGGGCCCTTCCTTCTGGCATCACGTCTTGCCTGCGTTCTCCAATCCTCCCCCCTCCCCCACCAACTTGGTGAGCAGAGCCCTTGAAAGTGGGCCTGTATGGTTCTCAGGAAAACCAGGTCTGTAAGGGTGGGATGTAGGAGGCACTGAGGCCCTGGTGACAAGAGTGAGTGTGTTGGGGGGTGGGGTTGGGGCAGTGTGTGAGTGGGGAAAACTTTGGCCAGGCCATCTTTCCAGGGGTGCCCTCTCAGTGGTGCCTCAGTGTGTGTATGTGTGTGTGTGGCGGGTCTCTCCCCGTGGGTGTGCTGTCTTCTCTTATTTCTCAAGACACAGCTCAGATGGCATCTCTTCCAGGAAGCCCCCCCCCCCCGCCCCCCCAGCACCCTGGCTAAGTCAATGGCCCCTCCTCTGCTCTGGAGTGCTCATGGCTTGATGAGAGCCCTTTCTCTCCCTTCTGCTGCAGGCTTGCACGGCCCCCTCCTCACAGGCTCTGGGCTCCTGTCTTCTTCTGCGATCTGACAGTGCCTGGAGGCTCTACGTGCTGCATTACCGGCTGAGGAGAGGTGTCTGTGCCTGTCTGGGTGTCCATGCTCTCCCCTTGTGATCGCGCCTGTCACTAAGAGGCTATAAGTCCGCACAGCTTATCCCGCCCCCTCACACTCTTTTCCTTTCCTCGTGATGCTGCCAGCACCTTATCACATTCTCTATGCCCAGGAGGATTCCGAGCAGCACCTGGGGCCACGCCTTTCCAGTGATCCTTCTGGACACCACACCTGGGTTCACTCTGTGTGTATAGAGGGGCGTCATTCTCAACCTTGCACCACTTCAGAATCGACTGGGGAGCTGTAGCAAAATAGCAATACGTGGCCCCGAGTATCTGAGGCAGATACGTTCAATCGGAATCCCCGGGGGAGGGGGGCACGTTTGGTTCTTTTTTAATTACTCAGATCATTCTAAGATGCATCCTGACCAGAGAACCACCGACCTGTGTGTAGTATGTACGTCAAGGTCACAGGGACCTCCCCACTCGTTGGAGACCTAGCACCCTCCCTTCCCCTGACCCCCGGCTTCCTCCTTGCAATCCGCATGCCGCCTACAGGGGTCGCTGCGGTACAGCTGGCCCCGTTTGCCAAGTTTCCTCGGGGTCAAAATCCTGCCCCCATCCCCAGGGAGAGCCGGAGCCGCCGCGGTATAAATTAGCGTCTTTATTTCGAAAACCCGGCGAGCGCCGGCGGCTCGCTCGCCTGCCATAATAACATACAAAGTCCCTGTTGCACCGCACACCATGCCTCAGAGATAAATACTGCCCTAGGGGCTCCTGCTCTGGCAAAGCAACTCTTATTTACAGAAATAGATTACAAAAGTATTACAAAAAGTGGTCCTGAACCGGGGAGGGGGTGCGAGTGGTAACCGGTACACTAGTTGCACCGGCGACGTGAGCGCACTCCGCAGACAACGGGAAACAGCCGACGTCGAGAGGGCTCCCGGAAGGAGAGGCCACGCCCCCTTAAGCGACCTGGGCGTCCGGGGGCGGGGCTTAGGTCTGCAGGGGTCCCACGCCCCCTGGGGGAGGAGACCAGGAAGAGGATGGGCCTAGCCCCTCGAGGATCAGTTCTGGCCCACCAAGGAACGCCGACCCGCCATCGCAGCGCGTCTCAGGGGAGGGTGCTGCGTGGAAAAAGAGGACTGTGTCCTTGTCCTGGGATGCAGGAGGCGGAAACACGCATCAGTTCTCCCGCCTTTCCTACCTCGGGATGGGTCGCTTTTAAAGCGCGGTTGGGGAGAGGTGGCATTTAAGCTCAATCTTTTCGGCGCGAGGGACCCTAAGGGCACCCTCCCTCGGGCGGGTGGGCAGCAGCGCCCTCCGACGCGGCCGCCCACCCCTCAGAGCACCTGGTAGATGGGGTTGGGGTTCGCGCCCGCAGGGCACAGCGCGGCGGCGTCGGGGGAAGGGGTGGGGGCGCCGCGCTCGCCCTCGCTCGGGGTGGCCGTCTCCTGCGGGCCGGGAGACGACTCCGGCGGCGCATCGGCCAGCAGAAGCGCGGGCGCGGCGGGACTCTCGGTGGAGATGCGCTCCACGATGCTGGACAGGCAGTCAAGGCTGGACACCGCAGCACTCTTCCCGGGCCTGGGTTCTGCACGGGGAGGGGAGGTTAGTATGCAGGGGTTGAGCCGCCGCCGAGTCTCCCTCCACTGGGCTCAGTGCTTTGGGGCAGACGGGAAACTGAGGGCCTGCCAGAGTCCGGGGCGATCCAGCAAGAGTGCCAGGCAAAAAGGGAGGGAGCCTCATGCTTAGTTTTTCATTCCCTATACCATCTCCCAGGATGGGCCCGGCGGGAGGGGAGGGGGTCCTAGACAGAGGGAAGCCAGCGCAGCTCAAAGGGGAACGTGGGAAGGAGGCACGAATACGCACCGCTGTGCGCCTCGCTGTAGTAGGTGCCATCGTAGCAGTTCCGCCTCCGCGCACCGCTCGGGGGGCCGCTGTAGTCCATCTGCAAACGGCAAGGGGGACCAAGTCAGGCCCGCGGGACCGCGCAGGGCGGAGCATCACTCCCTGTAGCCGCCCCCTCCCCAACTCCCCAAATCTCAGCCACGAGTTTTGCGCCCGGATCTGTCCTGGTAGGGATGGGCAGGAGCTGTCTGCAGCATGCCAGCCCAGACAGAGGGCGGACAGTCACCTAAGAGCAGAAATCTGCATTTTGGAAGTAGGGATAAGTGCAGAAAAAGCAGATCTTCATGTCGGTGCAGGAGTGTGCTAATAGCGCCCCCAATCGGGTGGATCGCATCTGTCCCGCGCACCCCCAAAGCACTAGGCCATTACAGCGATGCAGCCCAGGATATGGGGGTCCACTCCCGGGAAGTTTTCTCGGCAACCCTCCTCCGGATGGCCAGCTCCCCGCCCTCGGAAACGCGTCCCAGATATCCCGAGAGCTGCCCTCACTTCTCCTCTAGCGCGGGGTCCTGGCCTTACCATGCCGTCGGAGCAGTTGGAGCGCGGGCTGGACGCGTCCGAGTCGCCGCTGTAGTGCTCGCCGCCGCGGCCTGGGGGCAGCGGGCCAGGCGCATAGAAGGCAGCGGCGGCGCCAGGGGGCGCGGCGTCCTGGTCACGCAGCAGCGCCTGCAGGCCCTCGATGTAGCGGATGGCGTTGCGCAGGATCTCCACCTTGGGCAGCCGCTGGTTCGGGTTGCTGGACGTGCAGCGCTTGAGCGTCTCGAAGGCTTCGTTGACTTTGCTCAGGCGGCGCCGCTCACGCATGGTGGCCGCCTTGCGGCGGTCGGCGTTAGTGGTCTTGCGCTTGCACGCCTTGCAAGCCCACAGTAGACAGCGGCCGGCTTGGTGGTGCCCGCTGGGCGCGCGCACATGCTCGTCCTCGCGCCCACCCGGGGCCGGGTGCACTGTCGCGGGGAAGTGCGCGTGTTCCTCGGGCTTCAGGAGTGCGCCCACGTGCACAAGGCGCGGGTCCAGGTCCTCGAAGAAGCGCAGGTCTGGGGAGTCGAAACACGGGTCATCATAGAAGTCGTCCGCTGTAGCAAAGTTGCAGAGAGAGCCGTCGGGGCCCGACAGGTCTACGTCGCGGAGCGGCGGCGACAGCAGCTCCATATCCGAGCGAGGGGCGGCGCAGTCCTGGCTTCTCCCAACCGCAGCGGCAGGGGTTGCCCGAAAGTTTCTGCCACTCCGGAGTCCCGGCCGTGCAATAGCAAAGTACTGGGGGATCTGAATGTACACCCGACTGTCCTCGACCCTGCCCTGTCCTGTCTGGCCTGACGCGAGGCTAAGAAAGCGGTGGCAGCGCCCCAGGGCTTCCCCACCCCTATCTTCTCGCCAGGCGCCCTGGGCTATTTATACGGCAGTAGCCTAAGGGCCCCCAGAACCGGAGCGGACGGCTGGGGGCGGGGGCGCCCGAGGCCAATAGGAACAGAGCGGGGAGGGGCTTGGGATCCCCAGGGTGGCTGCAGGGGCAGGAGACAGGCCAGCCCCCAACCCCTAGACACTCGAACGCGCGCGCGCGCGCGAGCGTGCTCTGGCCCCTCCCTAGGCGGGGAGGGAGGCAGAAGCTGGCAGCCCAACGCGGCTGCACTTGGCTCCGGGGCACACTCTTTCCAAACCTCTCTGGCACCAAACTCTTCCTCTGTCCTCGGGAAACGCTGGCCGTGCGCACTCACCTCGGAGCTGAGTTTGGGCTCCCCTCTGTCCTCTGATTTGTGGGGGACCCAAGAACAGGGTAGGAGTAGAAATCAGAAGGAAAGAGATTTGGAGAGAGACACGTGGCAGTGAGGCAGAGACCCACTCACAGCTGAGATAGAGAGATGGTGAGAGAGATACCCAAGAGACTGAGAGACATTCAGAGAGCAGAAAGCTCTCTGAGAGGCAGAGGCAGAGAAACGCGCAACGACAGACTCGAGGAGCCCTAGTGGACGAACCGGAGACAAACTGGACGTGGCGGCCGTGTCGCTCGGCCAATCAGTGCCCCGAGAGTCGCTCAGAGGGCCGTGGGCCCAGCCCATCTTTCCTGGATGCTCAGAAACCCAGCCGCATCTCTACAGGAGTCGAGGATCCCAATCTCTGCAAACTCAGGTCCTGCCCCAGCAGGGAGGGAGGGAAGCGGACCCCTGCCCGACCCAACATGCTTGTGTCCGCAACCGGGCGTCCAGTGCGGGTCTAGGCACACGTCTCTTCCGCTGGGAAGAAAACTCCGTCCGCTGGGGTCTGGCCTCCGCGTCTAGCGCAGCGCTGCCCCGAGGAAGCTCATTGCGCAAAGGCGGCGAGCGCCCGGCCGGGCCAGAGAGCCCCAGTCCAGAGCGGAGTCTTTGAGAGCGGAGTTGGCAGACTAATGGCCTAAGTTCGCGTCCCGACCCCACAGCTTCCTGTATGATTTTGAGGCCTCCCCGAGCCTGTTTTCTCACTTTGTAAATTTGGGGATAACAGCGATCTCTTGGCGTGACTGTGGGGACGGTGAGAATCTAAAGAGACGGGAGATGTGGAAGCCAGCAGTCCCAGGTGCAAGGCCATCCTAGCAAGAGGGCTTGCTTCTGTCGCTGGCCTGCCTGGCCCGTGTGCTCCCTGGGGGCCTCCCAGCTGTAGGCTAGGGCACGCAGGCCTGACGGGGCCCTTGGGAGTCTCAGGGCTCAGCTCCTGAGGAGGCCTCAGCTGCACTTCTTCCCAGCAGGCCGACTCGAGAGGCTGCGAATAGAAGGCGCAGCAACCACCTCGTGGGGCCTCTGGCTCTCTCACAGCCCTGGGTGCTGCCACCCTGTAGAGCGTTCAGCCTCTTCCTGAGTCTGCAGTCTACACCTCCCCCTCCAAACTCTGGCTGGAAATCTCCCTGGGACCAGACACCCCTACCTGGGTCTCTCCTCCTGGAGCCCAGAGATAGAAACACGAATGAGCTTTGTGTCTTTCCCAGAAACTTCCGGAAGCTGTCCTAGCTGGTCCTCTGGGCCCTGGGAAGCCCTGCCTTCCCACCAAAACTGAAGGGCTCTCATGGAGCCCTGCCTTCTTCGTTCTCTGCCACTTGCAGGAGTGCTGAAGCTCCCCTTCAGGAAGTAACTTCACTCTTTAACACCACCTTCATTTATTCATTCAACAGATATCATGCAGCATCCAGTATGTGCCAGGTACTGGTGTAGGTGTCGGGGATACAGCAATGAACAAAACCAAGGCTCTGCTCTTGTGATGCTTACATTGTAGGGCAGGCTGACAGACAATAAATGGATAAGCAAGGAAGTATATGATGCCAGGAGGTTATAAGTTCTATGAAGAAAAATAAAGCCCGGGAACAAAGTGATGAAGATTATTTCATTGTATGGAGTGGGCAGGGAAGGACTCTCTGGGCTGATTACATCTGAGCAGAGACCTGAGTGAGGGGAGGGCGGAGGCAGAAATCTGGAGCCAGATAGAGGGAAGAGCATGTGCCAAGATCCTGGGGCAGGATTGTGTGGCAGATTTAAAGTACAGCAAGAGGTTGGTATGTCTGGAGCAGGATGAGCAAGTAGAAGGGTGGTGGGGATGGGGTCAGAAAGGGAGTAAAGGAATTCTATGCTGAGATGGAAAGCCCCTGGAGGGCTTGAGCGGAAGCGAGGAATGTCACTCTCTAACTTGTATTTTAACAGGAGCATGCTGGTTACTGGAGAGCAAGCAGGGAGACCAACTAGGAGGCCACAGCCATAATCCAAGTGGGTGGCGCTGGTGGCTTAGATCTGAATGGCGGCAGTGGAGATGATGACAAGTGGTTCAGTTCCAGATGTATCTTGAAGATGGAGCCAGTGAGACTTATTCATGATTGGATGTGGGCAGGGAGACAAGAGAGGAGTAAGGACGACTCCTGGGAGAATGGAGTTGCAGAAGAGCAGGTTTGCTGGGGGCAGAACGAGAGCCCAGGTTGGGGCAAAATTCGAGATGCATACTCAACATCCAGGTGGAGAGGTCAATGAGGCAGAGGATTTGTGAGGCTCAAGTTCCAGAGGGGACGTCTGGGCATGAGGAAGACCAGTCCACTCAACCTCTCAGACATCTCTCAGGTCTCTGCACCCCCAGAGTCACCATCCTGGACTCAGCTGCCACACTGCTGGCCTGAAACCACAGTGACCTCCCGGCTGCTCCCTCACATCCACTCTTGCCCCAGTTGACCATTCACTCCACAGCAGCCTGAGTAATCCCTTTAAGATATAAACGGGATTATACCCTCTGCTGCTTCAGACATCCTAAGAGCTGCTCACTGCGTTTAGAATAAAATCTCATCTTCCTGCCCTGGCCTGGAAGGCCCTGCATGAGCTAGCCTCAGCCCACCTCTGCAATTCAGTCTGGAAGCACTGTCCCCTTTGGTCACTCCATTCTAGCCTGACCTCCTCTCCCGACTTCCAATGCACTGAGGACCGTCCTGCCCTGGAGCCTGGTACTTGCTGTTTATAGGATGTCTGCCGGGCTCTCCCCGCCATTGGCTGCTTTTCACGGATCAGGTCTCGGCTCAAGTGTTGTCTCCTCGGGACGTCTCTGCCATCCTCTCGAAGGTAGCTGGGTCGCATCACCCTGCTCATTTCCTCCTTGGCACAGCCACTCTTTAATGATCTTCTTTATTAGTTCGTTCATTGATTGATGTGGCCCCATGAAGGCAGGGACGTGTTGTCCACCATGGCATTTCCAGAAAACATCACAGCAACTGTCACATAGTAAGAACTTGAGAAATGTCAGATGAACAAATGGGTGGCCTCATGCCTTTGACTCTGTCTCTATATATTTGAACTTCTTGAAATATGTCATTAATGAGGATGATTGTATTTCTTCTAAACTGGACAGTCACATATATGATTAGACACACATGCTGGTCACCCTTGCTCTTCCCAGGCAAGACCCAGGCCCAACTGCCCAGGGCATGAGCCTCTCTGTTAAGCAGTTGCACACGCCTGTTGCAATATCATAATAGGATACTACAGAGAGAAGTGGTGCTTATTATAAGCTTGAATCTTTTCATTTGACTTACACTCACAATGACGAAGGGAATAATTGTTATCTTAGTAACTTAGACTGAAACAAATAGTCCTCCTTATTGTTCAAACCTCAGCAGAATGCCTGACACCTACTAGACACTCAATAACTATTTGTTGGGTGGATGAATGAATCAAATTCTTGAATCTAAGAGTACCCTGAGATTTCCAGGTGAGCTCTTTAAGCCACTTATCCTTGCAAACCCAGATTCTTCTCAAACCTGAGCAAGCAAAGGTAACACAGAAATAAATTGGATGCTGAGACTTAAATGATTACAACTTTGCTTTTTGTGTTTGTGTTCATAAAAGCCGCCTCAGGGCTGTCATCACGGTGCCTTTACAACAAGTAAATGTTCTATGTTCGAACTTACCAAACACATTTAAATATTTTATCACTTGTGGCTTAGAAATCTAAACTGCTTTGACAGTTTTAAACCTGCCTCGTAGTTCATCTTCTGCGGTAATTGGGAAGCACTGTTTTTAAACGCACACACGGTCTGGTGGTACAATGCCACTTCCGCACGAGACTTCCAAGCGGACTTTGATCTTCTATGAGGCTTCTGCTGCTTGACGCGTTTGGGAATCCCTGGTCCTGCCAACCTCTACAGACCTCTCCAGGCCTGGGACCCCGCCTGCCCGGGGCTGCTCTCCTGGGTGAGCCACCACGTCTTTGGGAGAAGTTTGCCAATACCACCTTCCTGTCTCTGTTGCGGAAAGAGCGGGGAGAGGTGTGTCCATCCTGGGACCTGATGCCTTTTAATCCTGGTGCTGGGCTGGGGACAGAGAGGGAAAATGGAGTCAGGTTTGGAAGCTGAAAGAGTCCAAACTCTTCCATTGCAGAGTTTAGTCAAAGGTGCCCCTCAGGGACACGGGTGCTCACTTGTTCTGGGAGGGGCCAATGGCAGTGGGCTGAGGGACCTAGCAGGGGGTGCTCCCAGCACCTCGCCCTTCAACTCAGGGCTGAGCAGACTGGGGGCTACGTAATCTGGGCCAAGTGCACACCTCACCCAGGCCTCGGCCTCCAGGCTTCACAGTCAGGAGCTCCTTGCGCAGCAGGTGGGAAGGGGGCTCCCTTCTCTTCCACCCTTTCCAGTCCTCTGTCCTCAGCTCCGAGGCCTGCCTGCCCGGGGCTATAAATGGAGAGCCGGCCTCTGGGCAGGAATGCAGGCCTGGCTGGGCCCCACAGTGTTGCACCCTGAGGGAGCGGCCAGCCCCAGGGCTCCAGGCAGCCTTTATATCCATATATATAGCCTCTGGAA